AATGTCCAAATCTGTAACCCCTACAACTGACGACTTAATGCTTGACAATGTCGAACCTTTAACTACTGAAAAATATGCGTATTGTACACAAATGTCTCTATCGTCACCAGATTCTCCATGTCGCAGCCCCTCTATCTTTACGTGCAATATGCCAACGGTAAGACTGGTTGACATACAAGACACTATACCCACGTGCATCGAAAAGGCAGCACAGTCTACTAGACAGTATGTGCTACCAAGGCCTAAATCTAAAATTTCAAAACTAAAGAGTCCAATGGTCCACCTCAATGTTTTGAAGACACCTATGATCAAATCCAGTGAAATAAATTTGGAAAGAGGAAAAAAGGGACATGAAGAATTCAGAAGATTAGAATTTGGGAGAACACAGAGAGTGGATGCACCTGCGCCATTGCAAACGATTTTGAGCCATGTCATTCAGGGTCTCTAACCATCGGTTGCTATCATCTCGTGGTCCCCAACCAGGTAGTCTACACCTATGGGATACACAAGAACGACCAAGCCTTCAAGACTGAGCAATACCATGCATATCAATTGTCTTGACGATCACCATTACCCACCTCCCCTAAGTTTTATTTGCTGAATGTCAATCTCGGTAATTATAAGTTCATCTTCGAGAATATCGTGTTTAGGAACCAATATCACTACAAGCCTGCGCCACCGTCATTTATAGTGCTTTTAAGCTTCAGTCCGACTTCCGCTTACTGGCCTGGACACTGTCAATCATCGTTCTGGTTGGTTCTTCGGTGTTTTTGGTCTCCTAGCGGTGTCTCTTACGGCCCACGATTCGTCGAGTCTAACTCGGATTTGAGAGGACTGCTTGACCAATGACCTCTGAGATGTCGTTGTGACTTCATATGCACCGTATGCTATAGCTAACTTTAATCCTACGTTTTGATCCTTATACGGGCGTGATAGTTTTATTGAAGTTATACATTTCCCAGCATTGTAAAATATTTGTCCCACTGTACTTTATCAAAAACTGGCTTGGTTGGTTTGCATGAATATCACGTTTCTTCATATATAGGCCATCTTATGCTGCATAAAGAAGCACGAAATAAATACCAAAAGCATTAATTTAGCATTCTCTATTTTGTAATGTACACTTTGGCTCTGTTGTTGCTTTGTAATTTGATCTGTGATCCCAGCAACTGTAGTAAGCCTCAACGAAATGTCAAGTTACAGGTAAATCCTAAGTGTTTGTAGTATTTCCTTGGGTTATTATTGTTGCAAGGAATAACCTTTTATTAATTAATCATGTCTGTTTGTAGTGCTTCAAGCTCAAGTAACATTTCAGTCAACCTTACCGATGCCTTCCGAAGTATGATACTAAACAAGCGTTTTCGTGTGCTGGGATGATTTTGATAGCGCCTTAAAAGAATTCCAAAAAGTATGAAATTATAATTATATTGCTCCTCAGACTACTTATACTCGTTACATCCAACGGAAAGCAGGTTGCTAAAGATGTCAGGTTCAAATACCTGTTTGTAACGTTTCATTATACGTTTGATCATAAGGGGAAATCAAAAGGTTTGAAAGTGAAGCAAAAATCGTAAGATATTTAACTAATATCTCATGGTTAAGGTCTAAATTCCGTGTAAGACCAGAGGAGCAAGGATATGTCATCAAATCCTACAACATGCTCCACAATCATCCATGTAGTAGTTTATGGATGGTATGCGATCCATGGACAAGAAGATTATCATCAAAGAAAAAGAGAACTTGAAGCCAGTAATACTGCACTGTGAATCAGCAGATGAAGTTATTGAAAGTATTAAGGAGAGAACTGGTGAGCAAGTAACCGCTGTCGATGTCAAAGGTATGAAAGCTACACTCTCCACTGGTAAGTTTATATAAATATATTTCAGGTTGTTGTACTCGGAAGCAGGTAATGGGTATGCTGAGACAAAAGGCGAAGTGAGAGAACATTTAGAAAATGGATATGCCACGAGAATATGTTTCAGTAGTTATGACGAAATGCAGTTGTACAGGAAATATCCAGAAGTTCTGTGCATTGATTTTACGTATAATACTAATAATAAAAAGTGAATATGCTTTTCGTTGTATTCTACTACGTAGATATTCATTATTCCAGTTAGTGGTGACAGATAATTGAGGTCGAGGACGAACTGTTATATCTGCGTGGAAACGAAAAAAAGCGTGCCGATGTGATATGGATTTAAGATAGATTCAAACAGATAATGGGTAACACAATGTTGACAGAAAGACTTGTGATGGATTGCGCACGATCTGAAAGCGCGGCTGTCTGCATAACACACGGACATGCAAACATCATTCTGTGAGCCTTTTATGTAATTCGCGCTTTCCGGAAAAAGTTACACCAATGGTTGCTTATAAAAAATTGCCCTTATACAAACGACAAAATACTGAAAACGTACTCGACTTGATTGGTAACTGGGGAAACGGTCGGAAGGTAACTTTTGTAGTGTATTTATTCACTAGATTTAATCAATATTACAGAATAATAAACCGGAGGGACAGAGTGATAGGCAGTATCTATCACGTTTTTGGATGCCACGTAAACAATGTGGGCGCGTGCGTTTTACGGTAATGTTTTAACATTGGGTAACAGCACGAATAATCGTGTTGAGTCGCTAAATAGGCAGATAAAACGATATGTACCGAAAAGTGATAGTCTGTACAAATGTATATGCAAGGCTTTAAAATGGAGTGAAATGACGTCAACTAGTAAAAGTATCGAAGATCAAGTAATAGCCATTAAGGATGGGTGGTGTAATAGTGAACTGGATTTCACAGACAGATAAGTGGTGTGAAAATCTTATAGGTTATAAGCAATCCGTGGATTTAAGAACTGAAAACTTGGGTTACGTAATGATTGATTACCATTTGAAGAGTTCACATAATTACAGAGGATTAAGTGAGTAGCTGTAAGTGACAGGGTGCTGGGATAAATCGGTAACTAAATTTTAAAGGTGAAATGAATTATCACGTTATCCATCTTATAACTTGTTCATTCCATGGATTATTATGAATTCATATTATTCTCCATCTATATTTGTTCTAGCGTCATATCGACTATTTATAAATACGGACACAGTTTATAAAGTAAAACACTGGGTGTAGTTGCTATATTTACATTTCAATAATTCATTAGTTGAATAAAAATGTTACTAGGCAATATGGAACACAGTTATCGTAAATTTGTAAACCGGTTTTTCACATGATCTTCCACAATCACAAATTCCATAAGTTGTAGACCAGCGTAAACATCAACTTTGAGGACTTTAATGGATTCATACAATCCTGAAAAACAACAAATCAGTCGTGAAATAAAGAATAAGACTTAGTTATCAGTATCAAATTCAATAAGTCAATCAAATATCAGGTCACATGATGTACCTATAAACCCCTTATTTGCAAACAGCGCTAATCATTAGAGATTTCAATTTCCGTTAATAAAAATTCATAGGTAATCTTTACAACACACAAATCAGTGTTATTTACAAATTGCTGTAGTTAGTATCATCACAACATACAAGCGTCATCTGACTTATGAAGAAAATGTAATTAATTAATGCAGCATAAAGGAGATATAAATACTAGAAACTTGTGATTCTGCTTTCATTGTTCATTCACTTTTTTTCACGTTGTCTGCATGAATTACTTCGGACGAGTCATTCTGTAATGCAGTTGAAATTCATAGCTGTTATTTGATTCAAGTCTGTGTCGTAACAAGCACTGGGAACTTCATGTAAACAGCGCTCTTGAGTGTCTAACCCTTGTAGTATTTCGTCTAGACATTTGGTATTAGTAGAAAAATTGGTAAGCAAAATTTAAATATTACTCGACAATATGCATCATAACTTTGTTCACATTTTGGTCTGCAATTGCGCATTTCGTTTACAGAAAATTATTCGTCAACCCTATAACAGACAAATCATAAATCAGTATTAAGTACGACATGGTTTTGTCACCATGCTCAGAAGAGACACCTATGAAGATTTTGTGTCTATTTAATGTGTTATACACTGTTCCTGTATACATTCAGAAAGCCGGTAGAAAAGACTATCAACGTCAATTGTTACTCACATAATTTTTCTTTGATACGTTACACAATAATCTGTCACTTCAATACAAAACATTACTACTTATGGTGCATATAACTTTTTATGGCTAAATACAAACGAGTTATATAATATTCATAGTTAGGTTAACGCTTAATTGTTTTTATTTACATTTTATAAACGGCTACGGAAATCTATGTTCGCCGTCACCATAATGAAGGAGGTGAACCATATATAGTGAGTTTTACTGCTTATTTTCATGAAAACTCAATCTGCAATCTATTTTTGACTAGAAAAATGGTGAGTTTGACTTGTTTGACTTTGTATTGTTAAAAATAACCATATTACGCTAACTACAGATTTACTTACGTGGTGAGTAAGAAATACGTCGAACTGCTTCTAAATTGCAATGAAAACTATCTTGCGAGCACAAACACTACGAAAATTCATGCAGCATTGAAAGAAGGCTGTTAATAGCTGATAAATAACGACACGAAAATCCGCGACAATATGTTACATGTGCGCGAAAACCCGTGACTTAACACGCATAGTGTGCCGAATTTCCAAGAGCCTAATTTTTAATTGCCGCCGTACATACCCTGCCTGAAATCCTTTTGTGGCCTCTTCAACCACAAATTATTTTGCTCGCTGCTTCGAATGAATACTAGACGATTACTAGAAATCACACTGTCTTTCATCGGCTGGAACTTAAATGCTAGGATGGATGAGTCATTACAAATCATCTCTCTAGTGTCACATACTCAAATTGAATTTGTATCTTATTATCACTTCTATTCACATCATTACAAAAAAATCAAAGTTGTTAACAGACATACTGGATACTATACTCAGGCATTGGACATCGGAATATTGTTGGCGCGAGTATGGTTTTCGTATAGCTTTTCGTCCTTCTATTCTCTCTGAAGTTATATACTCATGGCTGCTGTCTTTTTCGTTTTACATTCCCCTACGGCCATCCAAAGTCATCGATTGGTTCACTTAAAGTCAGTCAGCTTTGTACATCGCCTATACACTACAAGGCCGGAATCATCTCAACTGGGTATTGCTTTTAATACTTTGCGTATTGGGATTCCCAAAGAATCTTTCATAGATGAAAAGCGCGTTTCAGTTACTCCTCAAGTAGGTCTGTTTACGTTACAAATTTCGACAACTTTTTTATGCCAGAGAATATCGGCAATGACTATATATATATATGCATGAACAGGTGTAAAATCGTTTTATGCTGAAATTTAAGACCATCGGTAGAAGGTGTGTTAGGCAATAAATAAATAGGATCCGAAAAATTTTAAAGGGGGTCGTGTGGTAATCAGAGTTTTGAAGAGATTGTATAAGTTTCAGATCTTTTTTCAAGCGAATTCCATATCCAAATGGATGCACGCGTGCTTGTGCACACAAATATAAATAAATAAATATATGATTATTAATGATCTTTTCATCCCAATTCTTAGACACATGGTTGTAAGCAGCTGTCGAAAAACCAGAAAACATAAATTTATATTAGCATACCTCAATTGTAGCTTCAAATTCATTCAAACTCGTAAAAAAAACCAGCTACATGAGATTATATTTCATAGATTAAAGGTATTGTGCCTACTGGCTGGTATTACTATTTGTTGAAATCTCACAGTCTTTTTTGGAAGGTAGTTATGGGAATGTGAGATATTGTGATGACTAAAATTATTCAGATTTATCATACAAACTAGGAATTCCTGGAATACTGCAATTTACAACAGATAGAACTAGGTTAGCACAAATGAAGGTATTGTGTTTAGAATTAAAAACCAGGCAGACACAAAGTACGAAGTACAAAGGAAGAAAATAGACATCTGCCGCATACTCATTAACATAATCTTGGACTATGCCTGCCTGTGAAAATCATATCTGAGCAAACTAGTCCTCCAACTGCTTCAGGAAAACTTTCTACTCCCCTATGATTCATCGTGTCACTGACTAAGGATTCTATTCAACAGACATTTGTGAGAATATCCAACATCTGATATAATATCAGCAGTGTGATTATAATTCGACTCATTCGAGACACATTTGTCACATTCGTTGGGGATATTATCAGAGATAAATTCATTGTAAAAACAAATAACATCTGATACGACACTATAAGGACTGTAATCAGATTTTAACTCAGAACTCTTTCCTCACATTTGATTATGACTTCATTGGAAACAAATGGAACAGACCACATCTGATTTAATAACATTAGAATTTTGATCAGGATTTGGTGCACTCAATGTATCCTCTACATACCTGTAAATGATTTCATTAGAAATACATGAGTTATTAAAAACAACGCATATCTAGTAAATTATTACCGTGAATCTGATCAGAGTATGATTCATTTGGAACGTTCAACTAATTAGGATCAGAATTACAAAGTTTAGCACTACTTGCAGCAAAATAAACAGTAGTTTTAAAAACTGCCTGTAGGTGTTCAATTTTACCACAATTAGAACATTTGGCATTACGTAATACACATAAATTACATGAGTAAATTTGCCACAGTACAAAAATTCACAAAACTTGTGCTCACTTTTGTGACCTGCTTCGCAACTCTTCAATGAATCGTTATCTGCATAACCTTGAGCACGCATTGGATTGTGATGGCGTAGTAATATAATTGAATTCTTATGTCTTGACGAATAATTTTTTAAAGTGTTTCTCCTTTACAGCATTCGGAATTTGTACTTTTTACATGGTCTAGTAGTAGTTCCTTGAGAGTTGCATAAGAAAGTGGGATACTTTCCTAGAAATGCCAGTTTTTAATTAGCTATAGGCTTCTTTTCCGATGAATATAGGGAAATGAGCCACAATACTAGCATCCTCGACATCTTCCTTAGTTATTGCCTAGATTTTGAACTTTTCTATATAATCCTCGAAAGCATCACAGTTTGGATGTACGTCACTGTTCCATAACAGGCTTCATCGCGATGCTGATGTGTAGTTTGGAAGTATTCGACTTAAATACGAACTACGAATTCCCGAAATAGTGTAATTTACAGCAAATAAAACTAGGTGAGCACAGATGAAGGTATTGTATTTAGAATCCAAAATCAGACAGACATCAAGTACAGAGGAATCATTAGTTTATACAAAAACCACAGATATGCATCAAGTCTTAAATATTATTAGTAGTTCACGTTCAGCCTTTCAGATAATTCACTCAGATCTTACATTTCATATATCTTACACTTTAAGCCATCTTTTCACACACTGTTATACTTAAACATCCTGATTGAAATGTGGTTTGACAATGCACTAATCAATTTAATTGTATGCTGTTATGAAAACGTATAAGCAGTATAATATGCTCATGAGATCAAACAGAATATTTTTCATTTGATCTGAAGAAAAGGCTTGCACTAAGTCACGAAACGCTAGAAATACGATTTTTTACTCACTGGGATATAAAAAAACATTTGTGACAAATATTTTCAGGTTATATCATATTTATAAAAACATGCTGTAACGTTAATCGCAACAGAAGATCAAAGGTCTCAGTAGAAAAAACGAATGAATGTCTTTACGTGTTTTCAGCTGGATCTAATCCATCTCACTCAATATCTCTAACAAGTAATCATCATAATGACATCGACTCCAACTAAGCAATCTTCGTGTGTCAACACTTCCCGATCAAACAGTTAGTGGCTTCATGTACTGATGCCGTGTCGTAGTAGGTGATAGTTGGGGATACAAAATACACGTCTCAATCATCTAAGTTGGTGAGAATTCGTTACCTCATCAGCTAATTACCTGTCATTACCTAATATTTTTCGTTCAACCTTAGGATTTCTTACTTGATAGTTTCTTTATTCATGGGCAATGGTCGAAAAGAATTTATATCCAAATATTATTAATCCGAAAATATGTTCCATTTTTAAAGACTATGTTTCCCAACCAACGTAGTAAATAACAAACTGCTGGGAAGTATACTTACCTCTTGGTCGACAAACAGATATATTTCCTGCGCCACAAATGTTGAAAGTTGACATAAATCAACTGAGTGCTCTAAATGCATGTCGAGGATTTGTCAAATACAAACCCACTTCGATTGATGAGACTCCTACGATAACTGAAGCGGTCGGCGCGCTTATCTCTCCTATCATTGGCTTAGAATTTCACATATCAGCGTTGGTGATTCTAATAACTTTTCATCATAAGCTGCAACTTGAGTAATAGTTTTCCAATACAGGACCTTTAGTAGAACTGTGTACCTTTTTGATAGGCAATGTCACAAAATCTGTCAACCAGCAGGATAGAATGCTGTCCTAATGTCATGAAATACAATCATTCATCTACGTCCAGGACTGAAACGAGCTTGATTTTTTTTATGAGCACCAATTAAGCGTCATACAATTTTGATTGATATTTTAGACACTATGTTAGTCAGACAGACTCTAACTGTTATAAGAAACTTTTAGTTCTTTCTTAGAAACTCAAATGATCAGCAATTAAAACCACTTACAAAAGATTACATCTACTTCTCAGGTCTAAGCTAACATCTTAGTCAATGTGACGGCTAAAGCTCGTCTACCATCTTTAAAGACCTCTCGCGTTAATCCATCGTAACCACCACCACCTTACTTTATGCAAACTTTAACCTTCTCAACTTCAGTAAGGGCCGAGGGCTAGTGTTTATGTTCTATTCAGGTTGTACATGGATACATAATTCTTTTGGATCTAAGATAAGTCCTGATGTTTTTTTATCAAAAGAAGTGTCTGCTTATTCATTTGTTTTACCCGTTTTTAACGTATTTGGTTTTCTTTTATTACTATTATTATTATTACAACTTTACAGACTGCCAACCTGTTTTCAAAATGTGGCTTCAACGTTTTCGTTCAAACTGGTGCCGGCGTTAACTCTAATTTCTTAGATTCGGATTATATAAAGGCTGGGGCTAAAATAATCACAGACAGTGTAGAAAGTTTGTATAATCAAAGTGACATTATCTTGAAAATACGACCACCTACGCTGAACTCACTCCCTAACCTATCAGATGAAGTCAGTATGCTGAGACCTAACAGCACTTTAATTAGTTTGATTTACCCTGCCAAAAATCAAGTAAATTTAATTAAGTTGTATGTTTTGTATGCTGTCAAGTGAAGGTGATTTGTTATGAACTATTGCATTTAATCATCTCCTAAAGCTATCTTTATCACGTTCATCCTTCCAGTTTTTTCACTTTCCCGCTTTTCTCCAAAAAAGAAAAAAATTATGTCAAATTTAGAATTAAGGTAGATGAGCACAAATACGGATTTCCGAGCATGCGTTGTTTTTAAACCCAACATTGTTTACTGCCAAGTGATAGATGGAGATTTCAAACAGGTTGAAGACTAAATTTTTATTTGTAGTTAGTTGCTTTTCTTGCTCAGATGGCTTAGTTATGTCGAGTGAGGAGAGTCTGCTCTTCCTCCCAAACTGGCCTCATACATCACGTTTTTGTATGCTCTTCCGTGAATCTCGCACCCAATGTTTTCATGTGACGAGTGCCTTTCAAAAAAGTTAGAGGGGAAAAAGCAAATGTTTATCACCTTAACCGAGCTGTTGGATGTAGAGGGTTCTCCTAGAAAGAAGGAGTGGGATACCATCTATTATGGCTAACAAGTTCGACAGAAAATTTTATGGTTACCATTTGAGAGAATGTCCAACAGCATGTGATAAAAAATAAACCAAAATTTCTGCAGTTCTTTAGCATTTTAATTTAACGATGGTGACTGGAGAAAACTAGCTTGTTTTGTGACTAGAGTTGTTGTTGATAAAGTTGGCCTACTAGCTATTGTTATGATAGTTGTATACATTCTGTATACTGCATTATTGTGCTTAATTAAGTGAACAGATTTTTATGGGAACAGTGTAAATTATCATGAGAAAAACAATACAGACTGTCCTCTTATTTTCTATAAATCCATAACAACTACATGTAAATTAATTTCGATGCATAGTAGTATAATTGTTTGACAATTATTTACAATTAATACACTTTCACTCTGATTCGTTATAGTTTGAATTGTTAACTTATGGCTTTTTGATTCTTTTTTTTTCACTTAATCTCTATCTTTTCTTGTTTTTCCAGTCGTTAATTGACGCACTAAGTAAGAAAAAGGTGAATCTATTAGCTCTTGATTGTATACCACGGATAAGTCGGGCACAATCATTTGATGTCTTATCTTCAATGGCTAACATCTCTGGGTATAAAGGTGTAATTGAGGCTGCTGGACTGTTCAATCGATTTTTCGCAGGTAGTACTAGTGAATTGTTGACATAGTTTTGTGGTTTTTAAGATTAGTTGTTTTTTAGGATGATGGTGGCTAGCAGTGGAATCAAGGACGCTCGCTTCGTCCTAATTGGGACTTGTTAGCTGAATTTAATTGCATCCCAGAGTTGATATTCACTCCGGGACTCGAACCTAGCACCGTCCGCCTTAGACGCCATCGCGTTATCCACTGAGCTGTTTAGTCCAGTTGGCCACTGGCTTGTACAATGGGGTGAAGTTAAATTCATTTTTGTATTGGTTGCTTGAATCTTTCCATTGATGATTAGGATAGCAATTGATCAGTCTCTTGTCCACATATGTGCATACTGTGCGGATCGCCTAAATATTATTTTCAGTCACAATTATTGTAAGCTGAGATGATGGTGGTTGACTAGCAGTGGAGTCGATTGCAGTCCTAAACATCAATCGGAAAATTCAAGCAACCAACACAAAAGTGAATTAAATTGTTTGTCGTTTTGATTGAATTACAAGTCTAAGCTTTTAAGCCTTTAAACTATTATCAGAATGGGGATTTGTGGAGATTGTAATAATTTTGATGGTTGAATTCATGAATCAATCTAAACTAAATCACCATTGAAAACCTGGTATTACTGGACGGCCGTTTCTTCTTAGTATTGAACTCCCTAGCAGTGTGGGAAGGTGGATGCACATTGATGAGGAGTTCCATACTGGGACGAAACGGCCATCCAGTGCTTTTTGGTTGTCAGTGGTGGCTTGGCTTAGATTGATTCATGAATTCACCTATCAAAATCGTATTTGGTAAGATTATTGGCTCCAAGTAATAATATTTCTATCGTGTTCACATAGTATCTAGTTCATTTTCAGAAAACTGTTGCTTTCATTCGCAGCATGAGTGCTCAAAAAGTTTAAGGAAATATTTCGAAAAAGCTTTATAAATCGATATCATTTCGAAGCTAGCATTTTCCTGAAAATTGTTCATGGCAGTTAATTAACGGTAATGGAAATAAAGCCGTTTGCAACTATTCAGTTTAGTTCTCTAAGTATGGAGTATATAAGCTGCAAAACTGACTATTAAGTTTCTCCGAAAGTATATCAGTCAATCTGGTTCGTAAATTAATCTTAAGATATATATTTATACACATAGTGCAATCTTTGATCTTAATTTATATTAAATATTACGAAATTAGTTGGCTGAAATTATGTAGAAAGAAATCCAAGATCTTTCATAATTGATCTCCGGAACAATTTCGTGACTATAAATTCTTAGATCATTTGTTATCGGTATGTAAGTGGATTTTTAGACGTTAATGTACTTCCAAACATTTTGATTAATTCATATACGAATTGAAATCAAAGGAGGTAAACTCGTCATTATGTTTTCTTTCGAAATGTTTATCAATATTTAAACATGACGAGTGTGACAAAGGTTCCAATAACTCTAGCATAACACGAACTAGTAAGACGTATGGTCAAAAAGTAGATTTTCACTTATGATAGAATAAATCTCAAGATTAAGAGAAATACTACCTAAACATGTATACCACACAAATATAATTTACTTTTTCATGAAATTAAATTTGGTGAAGTTTTGGTTTGTTAATTGACAAACGACAATCTTTCAAGTTATGAATATCTCCATTTGATGTCCATATCGGTTGTTTTCCTCCTTGTTATCATTCGATCTTGGTGTTCAGGAACCATTAGATCTGTGCTAATTGGCGTATTTCTTGAACTCATAGTTTTATGGATGATATTATATTTGTTTACACTTCTTTTTTCATCCGATTGTTAATTCTGTTTTCTAGTTATTTCCTTCTAAAGGCTAATTTATAAAATCTAGGTTAACCTAATTGACAGTCTTTCGATCTGTGATCTGTTTACTTTCATACTATAAATATTATTCTAGGAAAAACATAATTATTAAATGATGAACAAAAGGCTCGTAAGTACATTACTAAGATGAAGTAGTTCATTTTCTGGATATTTATTCCTATATAAAATATCTAAGTGTCAAATGTAAGCTTTTTCAGCTAGGTTTCTCATCCTAAACGTTACATACATTTTTATCTTATTTACATTGTTCATGTCCTTCCATTAATAGTTCTGAAAGATAAATCTGTTGGGGATGTGTAATATCCAAATACAATTTATGAGCTGAAAAAATCATTATCAATTAAGATAAATTTCATTTGCATTAAATTATCCAATATGAACTCTTCTTACACACTTTCGATTTATTTCTAAAATGATATAAATTCTAATCATTGTAATTGGTATATAATCGGTTAACTTTACTTTTTCACTTACACTGGGGCCGTCAAAAATAGAGCTTCCATTACCAAACTGTTCTTCTTAGTCTGGTTAACGGTGTCTAGAGGAAGAGGCTAGAGGTAGTCGCTTTCACTGTATTGAAGTTGGATTTGCGAAATGTTAGCATAGTTCATGAATGCATCAGAACAACGACATATATATTTCAGGTCTCACAGTAAACGTGGTTTCATATAATGAGCTAGTTCATTCTCATTGGTTCATAGCTTTCAACTTCATTATATAATGCAGTTGTATGGTATCATTAATGAATGTCTTCCAGACTTCTGTCGTGGTTGATTTGGTAGACTAAAATCTTGATCAAAACTACCTCAGTGGTAGATTTTAGTACAAAAACGACTAATTATATTCAGTTCTTATTTGAAATGTCATGATAATCTTATATATGTTGGATTACAGGTCAGATTACAGCTGCTGGTAGAATTCCACCTGCAAAAGTATTAGTTATTGGTGGCGGTGTAGCAGGTTTATCAGCTGTTAGTACAGCAAAAAGTCTTGGTGCTATTGTACGAGCTTTTGATACACGTGAAGCAGTTCGTGAACAAGTTGAATCATTTGGTGCAGAATTTTTAACTGTAAATATACAAGTAAGCTGTAAACCATTAAAACGTATTGATATGAATTTTATATTAATAATAAATTATTTTAATTTGACCCAGACATGGGTTAAAATGTTTATCAAGTCTATATTGTCTAGGTTTTTTTGAAAATTTTCTTATTAAGTTAGAACATATAGAAAGAGTGATAGAGAGGAATAGTACTTTACTTTGCTAATTTTTATCAAACGATATTTGCATAAAATGAAGATATTAAAACCTTTAAACTATCATAATCTAACAATTTTTGTATGGAGTTCAATATAATAATCAGTAGTAACTATTGCTTATAATGGAAACATTTATCATGCCTAAGTATGATCAGTATTATAAAGGTTGAATACTATACGATTAAAGGTATATTTTCATATTGGTTTGAAGTGTATACTACATGTATACTTTTCGATGATAGTTTAACTTGTTCATAGAAATAATCTTCCTGATGGTAACGAAATTAAACATTTGAGAATTTATCTTTCAGATAATTTCATGAACAGTTCAAATGTAATTCACTTTTATGAACAATCCATACAAAAAATTTATCAAATCCAGTGTTTACGTTGGTGAACAGAAAAAAAAATACATGAAATTTACGAATTACAGTCTAAGTCAAATTTTCGCTACTTACGTCTCTTATTAGTAAATCACTAGAAATTTCTCAACACAACAAAATTCTTAGTAACTGAATTAAAAGATTTAGTTCGTAAATTCCCATTATATTTAATTAATGGAATTTAGCTTTCATGAATAATATTGATAGGCAGTCAGTTAAAAAGTTACATAGAACTTAGGACAAATATCTATTAGGTCAAGATACCGTGCCAAGTTAGTTCAACCAGATGGCATTAGGATAATAAGTAGTTAAAAGTACTGTTGAAATAATATATAATAATAATAGTGAGAGAGATTAAGCATTGAGATTATGGTCCGTAAAGACTGAAGGAAAAGGTATGTATGGGGAAATACAAGAGTTCAGAATCTGAGGTAAAAAAAAAGATGTATGCACCTTTATCATATGAATGATTCTGAACCATGTAGTCCAACGTCTCCAGTCACTGACTGTGGTTTTTGCTCTGACCTCAACCAGACAGGTGGTCTGTACCTACCAATATAGCTCAGACCTATAGTCGATGACGGCATGGTCTAAGAGGGTGACTGAAGGTAGTCGACTGGAGACACTAGACCTATGTCCCGTGCTATTCAGCTCTTGTCAGCAAGGTGTACTGGTAGTCTTGATGGAGCTGATGCTTTCTGGCGGATTCGAATCCTTGTAAACCAGTTTTATAGTCAGGAAAGCTATCACGGGACTACCCAGGCCACGATTGGCCATCTATGAAACGGATTTATTTACTACTGATTGATCACTGAGTAGTGACCGATGTCGTCCATTCAGAATTGTTCCTAATAACTTATCGGTCGATAGTTTATGATCAGCATTAAGGGAGGACTGGACATATATAATATATGGTCTATTGAGTAATGATGATCACTCTTTCTTGTTTATGTTATTAAAGTAGATCGTTTCATTGTTTACTTTGACTAGAGACATTGTTATTATTTTATTATTCAGTAGTATCTTCATGTATGAAGTACAGTCTATGTATCTTTTTTCCAAATACTTTACTCAGGAGTCCGGGGAAGGAGGGGGTGGATATGCTAAAGAAATGTCTCAGAAATATCTTGAAGCAGAAATGGAATTATTCGCAAAACAAGCCAAAGAAGTAGACATCATCATTACCAGTGCTTTAATCCCAGGAAAACCAGCGCCAAAACTTATAACTAAGGTAAGTGTTTTTCACTAACGTCCACTTCACATATGTCTTGGAGTCACTTATTCAGTCATCAGAAAGGAAAATACCTAGAAAGATTTGTCGATGTGTATGAGTACTTTTTTTATTCAGTGTCCATGAATGGTTTTTCATAGTGCCTATTTCCTACTACTAGATATAGTTAACGGTTCTGTTACTACTTGAAATTTGGAGACTTTATTTTGTTCACTCTTTTCCTAGCTTGGATTGAATTCAATAGGCTTATTGGTTTTTATATTTATCTTTCTACAAAACAGCTTTTATTTATTTTTTAGGATATTGTAGAATCAATGCGTCCGGGGTCAGTTATTGTCGACTTGGCTTCAGAGTCTGGAGGAAATGTAGAAACAACAGTACCAGGCAAATTAACATATCATCATAATGTTGCTCATATTGGTTATACTGATCTACCCAGTCGATTACCAGGTCAAGCATCAACTTTATTTTCAAATAATGTAGCGAACTACCTATTATCAATGACTCCTCCTGGTAAGTTATGCTGATTAATTTAAACTACTCTAATTGTTCATTCAATTTTTTGTTATAAGATTGAGATACATGCTGTCACATAACAGTGTATGTATCCATAAATTTTCTGATGACGGTAGAGAGAATTTAACAAAGATGTCAGAAGACTAAAATCAATCTGATTAATGTTTGTTGTATATCAGTTGACAGAATTAAGCTATTTATGGTTGTAACTTCTTAAGAACTAATATTTTTCCATTTTGTTTTTTGGCTGACTCACAGTGTTTAGTAGCGATAGTCATGTTAGAAGTTAACTGATAAAATTTAGGATATCTTGACATCTCTTAATCAGTATTTATTTTCATGGTTTTGAATTTATCAATTGATCCTCAGTGAGTTCGTTTGCACGGTAATTTCGTTAAGGTGTTGTGAGTATAAGTTTTAAGTATGTTAATTACCTTATTTGTTTGTACATGCATTTTCTCGATAAACTGGCAGCTCAGATAATCTCAGAATTGAAAAAGAATTATTGTTCAACGGTTAATAAGATCGTTCAACTTTTATTCGTCCAGGTTAGCTACTCAGTTAGTGATGTATGAGGTATTCGATAGTTTGACTCAGATCAAACTACTAACACTTCTTCTGTTATGTCTATGATTTTAGCGTAAAAGTTCTAAAACAGAATTGACTGAGTTGGATGAACTATTTAAGGTGGTAGATGTGTAAGCACAATATTGTTAAATATGAGGAACATAAGTTTACGAAGTTTTTGACTAGTAGTAAGTAGTTCTCATTAGTCTATATGCTTTATAGTTAGAGTTTAAATTATGCGCGATGTTTTATCTTGTAGTGATGTTATTTAGGCAAGAAAAATAACGTAAATTTGGCTAATTGAAGAATATTATTTTCATTCTATTGTTTAGCTGATTGACTTATTCGCGTCTGTTTTAGGATCGAAAGACCGATTTTATCTTAACTTAGAAGATGATGTAATTCGTGAGAGCCTCATATTATATAATGTGAGTTTTATATATAATTTATTCGCTAATCAAAAGTCTATAATTTTATTGCTAACTGTTTACTTGTGTTCACGGTGTACGTGTTCATTCAATAACGTTAACTTCTTTCTTTCACCCTTGATCCCGCCCCCTGAGAGATTCGGACCAAGGACCTATCAGTGGATGCTCACTGATGAGGAGTCCCATACTAGGATGAAACGGCCGTCCAGTGCTTCCATGTTTCCCATGGTGGTCTAGCTTCAATTAACTAATGATTTCAACTATTGAAATTACTAAGATTTCCACAAAACCCTTCTGATAGTAATGATAATAATTGGGGTTTTGTGTTGTATGATACGTATTAATTAATGAACAGATGATCTAATTTCACATAAACGGTCCTATTGTAGACACAATTTCTACGTTGTTCTTTGATATATGCGTCTAAAATTGTTGATAACGGTAGATGGCATACAGTAATTAACCGCTAATAGGAAAAAAGTTTTGGAACACATTACTATTCAAAAATACAAAAATTATGTTACAACTCAGTGTAGTCAATAATGAAAGCATGACCTTCAAGCATACTGAAGTTTACTGCTTGTAGTAAGAATCTAAGATTATTAGCGAAAACCAATAGATCCTGTGATTTTTTTAACAGAACGATTATGATATTCTTCTTGTATAATGTGAGATCTACATGAACTAGATAGATCAAGCGACTAATATATAAACGTACTTGATTATTGATGGTTTACACGTAAATACTAGAAAATTCTTTTGAAATAGTTATGTTAACTAAATGTATCAACATCACCTTTTATGTTGCATGAAATAACGAAAGTAAACACCAGCTAAAAACAGAGACAGTTAATAATAAAAGGCCAAAGGTCATATGAGAAATATTCATTTATTAAAAAGATACTCTTCGTTACCATTACTAGTAAGACTAGAATTAATATAACAAAAATTGAGTGATAACGTGAGATCACCCTGGTAGTAACACTATTGATATTGATCAGATGTCTTCTTAACCATTTTAGTAATCGGAATCCAATGCACTACATAAACAAAAGTGAGAATTTCTTTTCAAAATTCATGTGTTACGAATTTGTTAACATCATGACTTTATATGCAATCATTCATTATAGGTTATTACCTTTTTTCCTTATTTTGGTATAACACTGAACGCTTATTAATTCTTACGGGGATATATTTTATTGTCCTTAGATGTTATGTAATGTGCCAGTCACTTACCAAAAACTTGATAATTCCTTGTGTAGGTTTCTTAATTTCGTAAACTATAGATAAAACAGATTGAAAAAAAATTTCTTCGTCATTTAACAATGATAAAAAGGTGCAATTTGATTAGAATATATCCTTTAATTAAGTTAGATAAGCATATCGATCTAGTGGTTAATTATTTCATTTATTCATTATTAACCGGTATGGTGGGATTATGATTTATGGACGACCTTTGAACGACGCTAGACTGAACTTGGGAGTGTCCACCTGATAACTAGGACCAAATGAAGGCTACAAATTTGTGTGACGAATTCGAATTATAATTTACAGTTAATGTTTAATGTTAAGAATTAGATTTAGGGTTTTCATCACGAAATGACATCAGGTATAATGACAAAACTCTATTTAACCAAATGGTTTAGTGAATTTCGCGCCAAAATCCGATACCTGTTATCTTATACGTGATTGGTTCGTCCATAAGTTATAGTCTCGCCACCGGTATTTCACATCAATCGTTAATTGTTAACGACAATTATTGTGTATTGAGTTAGATTATCAACTTCACTTTTTTAATAACTTCAATCTTGTTTCAAAACATTAAAAAATTACTTTCATCTGTATTTTTCATTACTGCTATCACATCCATGTGGTGCATCGTATTTTTGATCAAGGGAGAACTTATGTGGCCTCCACCTGTACGTTCTCAACCGAAATCATCATCAAAATTAATTAATAGTAAACAGTTAAGTAAAGCTGGAGGCAATGTAGCATTGCAACCTGAAGATTCCTCATCTGTCTTTAAAAATAAACTTCGTTCTGCTATATCGACGTCGGTTTGCTTAAGTGGTTTAGTTGGACTGGGTCTATATTCACCTTCTTCAGCATTTACTACTATGTTAACAACATTCGGCCTTTCGAGTATTGTAGGTAAGTAATTTGTGTTCTATGTTTTATTTATTAATAGTACTTCGTGCAAAAAGATAAATAATTGACAGAATTTTGGTAAACTCCGTATGATAGACATTAAAAGCATATGATTTGGTTGTTCACATCTTCAAACCCTAATCTTTCGGATTACTGCTTATACTCTTACTACCTCTAACACTACGGGACTTGAATAGATAACTGCATCTTTGTGCTAATGTGGTATGGCAACTCGAACTGATGTACATACGTACGAAGTTCTAAGTTGTTTCTGACTGACTGACTCAAATGCTCGTTTATCGTGTGGAAATAGGTTGGAATACAGTTACAGATGATGAAACCAAAACATGGCACCAGCCCATAAAACTATTAGTCTGTTGCTCTGAGTCATGTTAGTAAATGTAGGTGTCCACGCAACAATCGTGATCAGTGGTTGGTTGTAACATCACTCAAAATCATTTACAATGGTAGGAGTACATTAACTGCCTACTTACTTACTCCTGTTACCCCTCGTTGAGCATAGCGCAGGATCCTTCAACCAACTGTGTCCTGCATCATCTTTTCCAGTTGTTGCCAAGTTCTGTTCATTCTTTTATTGCTTGCCTCCGATTCGCAGTGCAACGTGTTCTTTGGTCTGACTCTTTTCATTTTATCGTGAGGACTTCAAGTTAAAGCTTGATTTGTGGTGCAGTTTGGTGATTTCCGTCAAATGCTATATATACACCTTCAGTGCCTTTTCCGAATTTCCTCAACTGGAAATCGGTTTGTTCTTTGCCATAACAGGTTATTGCTGATGGTTTCTGGTCAATAGATCTGTAGTGTCTTCCGTAGAAAACTGTTTATAAGTACCTGTACTTGTTTGGTGATGGTTGTAGTAGTTCTCCAAGATTCGGTTCTGTACAATCGAACTATATTAATGTTTGTATTGAGAATTATGACTGTGTTGTTGACTAACAGTTGTTTGAAGTTCCTAATGTTCTTTGATTGCAAAAGTTCTACCCTGACTTTACCTATCCGTTCATAACGTTTCTTCATTTTAATCTTAAGTTTCAGTATTCCATCGTATATGCTTTTACATTCTGTCATTTGGAACAATGTTACCAACGTTTAATATTTCTTTTGTCATTGTTACTACGTTATTTCAAATACCCTTTGGTATTCATATTTATAGTTTCATCCGGTTGTGTCAATCTTATAAAAACTTTGACTAAGGTACATTTTATCAGGTTGTATACTGAATATACTATTAATTATAATTATTATTAACGGCATTATTCAGTATTATATTTTTGGTACAATGTAGAATTCTCGGCGAAATGTATTTCAACAAATTTCCTTTTCTTATTTCTTGATCAATCCTCACGATTAAAACTGAATGGTCACCAGTCACATTTAAGCAATTCAGGAATCTACATCTGAATCATGTTCATTCAAATCCATGCATGCATTTTGTCATCCACCACGATGTTTCTGATTGTATCTTGATGTAACTTGTACAGTGAAATGTTGTAAACGTTTTACAAACGCGCTGAATAGGTTATGTGATTAATAGACATAATGGTGTGTTAAAACAAACACAAACAGATAACTTGTTGAAATATTTGGATGGCAGGAACAGGTAGCCAAGATACTCAATCTGGCCGCTGTTCAATATGCATGACTGATATTTTTTCATCTTTTTTGTCCGGTTTCCTATATACTGTTTTATGTTCTCACTGTCATTTATTTTCCTGGTGATTCCCATTTTGTGTAGTGTACCAAAGAATATTAAATTGATATAGCTGTACTTCGAATTCTTTCTGTCACCAGTTTAGTTCATAGTATCTAGTTCTTTACTTGAGTTTACCACTAAATTTTCTATAGCTATTGTAATTATTTCCCTTGATTAATGGTAATAAATCTTTTTCTAACTATCAATTATTTAGGTTATCATACAGTCTGGGGAGTAACTCCAGCACTTCATTCTCCACTGATGTCTGTTACTAATGCTATATCCGGTATTACAGCAGTTGGAGGTTTACTTCTAATGGGTGGTGGTTTCTATCCATCCAGTGTGCCTGAGAGTTTAGCAGCATCAGCTACTCTTTTGTCAGCGATCAATATTGGTGGCGGTTTTGTCGTTACTCAAAGAATGTTGAATATGTTCAAACGTCCCACTGACTTACCAGAATACAATTATTTACTTACCATTCCAGCGGCTGTACTATTAGGCGTTTATGGATATGGTATTTTAACTCTGCCTCCATCGTTATTAACTGATATGCATCAAACTACATACTTAGCCTCTTCACTTTGTTGCATTGGTGCATTGACTGCTTTATCCAGTCAAAACGTTGTCGTGTTGGTATGTTTTTCTCTTCCATGTTAAGATTAAATTCTGATTACTGAAGAATTATGAAATTTAAAGAATCGTTATCTTTCAATATTGTTAGGCTTTTAATAACCTTAATTGTCGTAGCTTTCTAGAAATTCGTATTAAATTTTAGTATCATTTACATTGTTGGCATTCATTTAGATGTTCTTTAGAAAAGTTTTGTATTCATGATTGACTCAATTCAAAATCAGTCAATATTGGATAATAATTATTGTTATAATCTCTTTCTTACGGTTATGACCCAGCTATTCCTATTGCTTAGTATTCTCGGACACCGATTCACTCGACAAGTCCCCAAATCAGAACACGGTTGAACAGAAAAGAGATTATATTCCAAATAACAATGTTAGATCGAAGTAAGAAGCAAGTAAGAAGCACAATAGGAAAAACGTTAGTATATTTATAGTTTTTACACGAGAAGATTCTAGAGTGTTTTCCAAGTATCGACTAGTGCTGATTGGACAAGAATTAGTCAATCAGCGTGCACCAAAGCAATCGTGCATTGAGCATGCTTTAATCCAGTCTATGTCCCGCTAACAATTATGATCTATTCTAAAATTCTTCAGTAACTTACATTTTAATTCTTTAAAAATAAAGTGAATTCTCTCATGCTTCTTAATTATGATGTTTCGTTGGTTTTAAGAAAATGCAATTCTCAAGTTAGTTATCAATCAACTTAAGAAATTGGTTACAAATAGGGTAGATTTTGTAATTTATCCTAAATAAATACATATCAAACTGTTACGTAAGTATTTTTAACTGTTTTCGTTTGATATTGATCAGTATACAAATTAGATATCTGAAGAAAAACATCAATATGTCAAAGTGTAATTGTAAAAAAAAAGAAGACTGTATTCTCTATCGCAAGTTTAACTGTGTGTCGTAGAAACGTATTTCATTCTTTAACTACCATAGGGGTACTTTGTAATTTTTTTAAAAAAAATGAAAGGGTCCATTCATTCATTCTTTTAATAAATCCTTTGTTTTTCTTCAAAATGATAATTTAATTTTTAAATTCTATCAGTATATATCAAATTATGAACTTGAGTTTAGTCATGAAATCAAAGTTGGAACCTTCCAAATAGTATGATTCTTGCTGTTTTTTTTTGTTGTTGTGTGGTTAATCTTCAATTAGTGCCCATTCATTTCAACTTTTTGAATAGATTTCATAAGAATTATGCTTTTATAATGATTATTATTATAGAGATTGGTTTAATGGGTATGAAGAACGAAATTTCAATTGTTGAAATGAATGGAAAGAATCCTGTTCTATAAATGAGAACTCAGTTGTATGAATTATGATCGAGTAATAGGTTTACATGATAATGTTTTATTGAATTAAGCACCCAAATGATTTTAAATAAAAGTACTAAGATCAATGATTGGTAAAAAAAAAACTTTTTTTTAATACAGTAGGACGATATGTTTATACATAAAATGTCAACATAGAATAAATATGGTAAAATATCATAAGGGATTGAAGGAAATCAGTTTATGGATCATACTCTCTAATCAGTTAAGGAGATCTGATTGTTATGACTAATTGTTAGTCATCGTATCAGTTATCACTTTGTCAACCTAATTAGGTTTTATTTTAGTTAACTTATGCATATGTTTTGTTGTTTTTCTAGGTAATGCTTTGGGTATGATTGGTGTAACAAGTGGACTAATATCTACTCTAGGACTTATACAGCCAAATTTAGAATTACTTACTCAAATGGGAGCATGTTTAACTGGTGGATCATTAATAGGTTCCATTGCTGCTAAACGTATTCAAGTTACAGATCTACCACAAATGGTTGCTTTATTTCATAGGTAATTTAATATTCAGACATAAGTTTTGAAATAATTACAAATGAGAATTCTTTTAAAATTCACTTTAGAAATACAAATCTAATCTAATGGATTACTAACTAATTTGGGTGAATTCAATTATTTGTGTAACTGTGATTAATCTAAAAGATTTAGTTTAATTATTTAAACTGTTCTTGAGAACTTATGCACGCATACGAGAGATAAATGTTCATTCAAGTTGTCTTGTAAGTATCATAGATTTACTCGATAAAAATGCTAAATTATGTTTCAAACTATGATTATGTTCAACGTGAAACAATGAAATTTGATCTAGAAAGTTTTGTGTATAGTAGATTAGCCCGAGTTGATTTCTTTATCTGCATCTCATTTGATTAGTGTTATGATCTTGATCTCCAACATCTGATGAATATTAATACCTCGTCATGATCATAATTAAAGTTGAAAGAATTGTTGAATAAGTGGTAACCTATTTCCTGTAGTATTTCATCTTGCGATGGCTGGTACTATTTCAAGCACGCATAGGTTATTCTAGCTTGTCGATAGATCAATTTATCTTTATTCTCAAGCGACATTTGAATATTATTGATTATTCGATTATTAACTCTGATTTTGTATTATCGTATATGTGTCAATTGCTCACTCGATATCCATTACGTGTCTATAACTTGTTTTTGATCTTACTATATATATTGATTAACGCTTGATCAAAACGAGTTGGTTCACTTGCCTTCTCTTCTGCGTGTTACTTCGTTCCATCTTGCTTTCATTTTCTCCGCTCTTTTCCCTGATTAACTGTTTGGGTCAATGAGTGTATGAAATATATGTATTCAAAATTTATCCTCGTATTTGGCTTATTACAATCCATTATTCTTATTAAGTCGATAAAAACATACGAGGGCTGGTGGAATGTATATTTCGATAACAATCATTATATGATCTAACTGAAGTCAGATAATGGGCCATTAAAATCTTATCTGTACACTATTTTTTATTATACAACCTCTTCTGGCTGGTCGTTTATCAATTATTTTTAAATTTGCTTCACGATAACTTTCAACATTCTACTTTTCATTACAGATCTTTATTTTATCAAATGAACTGAATCTAGTGTAGAGAATACTGTACAGAATGATTGATTTAGTGTTAATTTGTCTTAACAGGTTTCTTTTTTTTACTTAACCTTCTGGTTAGTGTCACAGGTTACTGCATGGTACATCTTATTTTCATCACTCTTCATAGTTTGAATCTTTATGAATAATTGAAATTAAATACTCATGGATGATGTTTTCATAATGTTTGTTTACAGTAGTAATAAGATTTTATATTTTTATCATCATATTGACAATGTGCAATTTACTTAAATCAAATTTTTCTTTATGATCATATTTTGCTAAATGCACTTCATTTAAGATTAGCATAATGATCTGAGGGTTTGGATCAACATTCGTGTTTACATAATTTATGTACATATTTATTGGGATTTTGATGTTGAAATTCTCTTTGAGAAATATTTATTCAGTGAAATTGTTTGCTTGAAACTTGTCAGTCATAAATCTATGTATCTGAGTTTGAATAACATTTTAAATATGTAGGGGCTAATGATACTATCTGACTGCCCAAATCCAATTAGATGGAACTAAATTTGAACATGCACCTTACTGGCTGAAAGACAGATAGATTCCTTAGTCCCTAAGAGATCTCTTCAAACTGTATAAACTTACTGATTTAGTGCACTTTCTTCACAAAACCCGAAGACCTGACAGATCAAAATCTTTTTATGGTAGTCAATGGTAAAATTTCAGACATTTCAGTTAATTGGTTTAAAGGTAAGAGACTGATGGCGAAGCCTGAAATTCCTGTATTATTCTTTGGTAAGGTCATGAGCATACTCTTTAACGATATCTCATACTACAACAAAATAGCTGTCAAGTGATCTCTAGTTTTCTGCGCTGAAGTATAGTTGAAGTTAGTTCGTAGTGTAAAACATTTTGGGGATGTTAATCTCCAAATAAAACTTAGGAGGAAGACGAACTTTTGTTACATTAATTTTTTAGTGTGAATTCTGCTCGTTAACTTTCAATACTTTTTTCCTACAATCTGCTTTTATTGGTAATTACTCAGGTTCTTAAATGTCATCGTTGTGATCGAAAATATAACTGAATATCGTAGATGTATATGTGAGTCTAGTGCGTCTTGATCAGCAAGTGTCGATACAGCAATTGATTTCTTGCTCTAGTCAGTGAGGCAAAAAAGTAAGGAATAGTAATAGTCTCATTCACTTTATTGAAGTTTATACTTTCCCATTATATCTATTGATCTTGAATTATTTTTAAACAAAACTTACCTTTCTACTCCTCCAATACATATTCATGTGAACTTGGTGGAATCGGGTACGTACGATATGTCTAATCATTATGTTATTTTGTAAAATGGGTTATATTTCAACGGTACAGAAAACTTATAGATATTCGATATTTATCTAGTGTGTTAATAGGAAATAACAACTTGATTCATAACATAATGCATGATTTCAGTGAAGTTTAAACATTTTATTTTAATATTGGAATGTTCCAGTTTAGTCGGTGCCGCTGCTGTACTTACATGTATTGCAAACTATATGGTTGAAATGCCTCATTTAATTTTGGATCCGAATTGCTATGGTGCATTACAACTTATGAAAACTGTGGCATATTTAGGCACATATATTGGAGGCATTACATTAACTGGATCATTGATAGCTTTTGGTAAACTGCAAGGTTAGTGATATTGTTTTCCAGTAATTATGAAGTTCTTAAATTGAAAATTGAAGTAGGTCAGAAAATGTAATTTCACTAACAGGTTTGATTTATATTTCATCCATTACTGTAAGTTTGTTTATGTTTTCATTTAATCTGGGTGAACTACCAAAGGATAGAGAAAACCATTAGGAAATAATGTTTAACGAGCTATTGTGACTTGTGCCAGTCAGTTAGTTGGAAAATAATGTAAAATCTGGTGCATCTATAGATCAGTTAAAGTTGCCACAATTCATCCGCACAACGAGATCAATTTTCTCCATAAATGCCGTAGTAGCAACGGTAGTAATGTGATGTATGCTCCTTATGTTTGCAGATATAATTAGTTTGTAACACCGCTCTGAAGTGTCATGTATGTAAGTAGACGGTTGAGGAGATTAAAATGAAGAGAGAAGGAAACTGATAACAAGCAAGATAACAACAGGAATGAGAGGACAATCAAGCTTGTAAGAGACTATTCAAAGATGTTCAAATGATGTATTTGATGCACAATTTACACATTTTACTATAACACTGTGTGATTATGCATTAAACAATAAATTGGTTTTCCCTCACTTTAGTAAGAGCGTCGGTAGTAGTGGTAGTAGGAAATTTTCAACCTAGATAAAATGATTAGACTAGAAAAACTGGATTTTTTAGATAAAAGATAATTTAAAAACTCAAGAGCTAAGGAAAAACAAAGAGTGAATTTACTTGTGCCATTGTGAATGGTTCTGAACCGTGTTACTTAAAGAATCCAACCATTTGTCACGACCACTGTGCAGATACTAACCAACTAGACGGAACCTGCTAATATGGTTCAGGCCAACAAACACTTTCTTTATGGTCTGATACCATTTCTTGGTTTGGGCACCCGTAACTTCCAACCTACTTCTACATCAGGAAATATGCGTTCGTTGGTTGGCGGTTGAATATATGGAGTACATTCACCAGTCACCTTAATCTATGAACCTCATTCCCTCATCTTTTCTAATTTATTTACTATCTCTTTATACAAAGGAGCTGTTTACAAACTCAAAAAAAAATCAGTTAGTTTGGAATCCGATAAGCCATTTGCTTGTTAGAGTTAAATTCTTTTTAACTATATTATGGTAAAGAAATTTTGCTTCGTGTTACAATTACTTTTAGTAATAAATTGCGGTACTGAATTTTTTAAAACCAGATCAATATTGAGAAGTTACTATTTCAAAGTCATCTAGTGATTTGAAAATAATGGAAAAAGTTATGAAAATAAGCTTGTATAATAATTTTGTGTTTGTAGTCGGAGTATTAGGGAGTTCTTTGAACTATCCAAACTGACTATCTAGTTTTGCACCGTTTATCATTCATTGGACTTGTGCTACAATATTACACGACATATTTGGAAGATATTTAACAATATACATTGAATAATTTGCGATATTTGATTGTTTATGATTGAAAAAACTGGTTGCGACAATTCTCGTTGAAAAGTTTTGTATTAAAATATTTTCATTTATTCACATTTCTTTTCATTGTTCTCGGAGATATTGTAAATTCATCCTGAATATTATATTATTCATTAAATTTCGCTTCTATACTCAGGTATTTTAAAATCAACTCCATTGCTGTTACCGATGCGGAATACGTTGAATGCTAGTTTAGTAACACTGTCTGGTGGATGTCTTGTTGGTCTTCTTTCACTTGGTCCTGAATCTGTGCTACCTGGGCTTGGATTACTATTGGGGGAGCTGGTGTTGCTGGTGGGATTTCTGGTTTGACTTTAACAGCTGCTATTGGAGGTGATCATTTGATTACTCTTATTTTTTTTAACCATTTAGTTATATTATACGTGATTTTATCGTTCACATTGTTCGTTGATAATGTAGTGTATTTTACTGAGTAGGACTATGTTTACATTTGGCGACTTCACATCTCTCTTCTCACTCCACTTTGACCATCTTAAAAGTATCACTATTTTCCATTGAAGTCATGTGCTGAATACACAAACCTTTACTTTGATAGTGAATCATTTTGTAAGCCTTCGTTGATACGGTGTGTTTTTAACTTCTAGTGAACCCGTACTCTTAACTATTAAAACATATAATTATATATTCCTGTAAAACTGTTTCATTTGCCACTTATGTGTACACAGTTACTGGAGGCCGCCTGCTCGAATATCTGGGCTACCTGTTCCAGCCACCTAGATATTTCAAAAAAGTTATATGTTTGTGTTTGTCCTAACACACCATTGGGTCTATTAATCACATAACCTATTCAGGCGCGTTTGTAAAACGTTTACAACATTTCACTGTACAAGTTACATCAAGATACAATCAGAAACATCGTGGTGGATGACAAAATGCATGCATGGATTTGAATGAACATGATTCAGATGTAGAATCCTGAATTGCCTAAATGTGACTGGTGACCATTCAGTTTTTATCGTGAGGATTGATCAGGAAATAAGAAAAGGAAATTTGTTGAAATACTTTTTGCTGAGAATGCCTCCAAATGCCTTGGTACGGCCGAGAGTGGGAAGAGTCCGCTCTCCCTCTCGAAATGTTCTCATATGGCCACGCGTCTATGGCCTCTGCCAGGGAAGTCCTATTCATTGCATTCTCGTGGCAAGGGTGTTGTTTACGAAATTGAGAGGACAAAAAGCGAATGTCCGGCGCTTTAACCGGATTCCAAACCAATGGTGCACATGGGCTCCAGTATCCTGAGGGAACAAATGGCGTATGGACCAATTGTTGGTCACTGGCTACCATGGGACTGCATCTCCTTAAGATGCTCCACTGCCTTGTGGATCAGACCTTCAGGTCGAAGGCTCCGGATATGGCCTCCCAAGAAAACCACCTGCTTCGGTCTGGGCACCCGGACAGTATCACATCCCTCGCGCAAATCGAATGAGATTTGTGTGACGCATATGTATTTGGTGCCTCCTTGTACCAATATCTATATGTTAAAATAAACAAATTTGCTGAGAATTCTATACTGTACCAGAAATATAATATTGAATAATGCCATTAATAACAATAAATTATTATTGATTTTACGATCGAAAATATTTAGGTGCAGATATGCCGGTTGTAATAACTGTATTAAATAGTTATTCGGTTGGGCATTATGTGCTGAAGGTTTTATGCTGAATAATAGTTTAATGACTGTAGTTGGTGCATTGATTGGTTCAAGTGGTGCAATTCTATCCTATATTATGTGTAAAGCAATGAATCGTTCATTACCCAATGTGATATTGGGGGGTTATGGAACTTCTTCATATTCCGGTGGAAAATCTATGGCTATTACAGGTAAGTTACTATTGGTGCATCTGGTGTATTAGGCATATATAATTAGATTACAAGATTTTAAATTTTTGCATCGAACCATCTTTTTTGTTTGAGGAATAAGCATATAATTTAACGATTTACGTCTAATTAGGTAAGATGGATTTTAAACTTGTAACTCAACAGTTGTTGATATTGTTTGTGTTCAAGTCAATGAACTGGGTGTATTACAATCTGCAAAACTTTATTGGGCATTTATATTTAAGATACATAACATATGTGTATATAATAGTAAGTGAACAATGCTGAGGCCTAGGGTACTTGACAAAGATGAGAAACCCTCTAGTGAGGTAGTGAGTCTTGATTGACTGAAGTAATGTAAACATATGCCGAACCTCCGTCTACATGAACAAGGGATGCTTGCTAGTATTGAGAAATGTTGGAAGAAAGTTGATAACGACCATAAATTCATTGACCGTTGGTTTAAGTGATGTGGGTAGATGCTGACTATCTGGCTGGGATCCGCGTGATAACTGCAATTGTTGGTTGCAGGCTTTGTATGACATGTCTCGAAGTTCGCTGTAGTGCAGGTGCACTCACTCCTTATCTTCCCTCCCAATATTGACGTCCATTATTTCTTCATATTCGCCTCTTCACTGTCTTCTGACACCACATTCCCGCGATTTATCCTTTCTTTTCGTGATTTCTATGTTGTTTCGGTCGATTGTATTATTTACATCTCGTCATTCTAATCCAGTATAACAAATTGGGTTATCGTATATCTATACTGTGCTTTATGTTGATAATCTCTGTCTGCCTGAGAGAAAAAGTAAAGCAATACATTAATTTTCCCATGAACTAAATGGTTGGTCTGACAGATATCATTATTTGTTAATACAGTGTTTTATCTCAGAAATGTCATATGTTACCAAACTGTTAAGACGCGAATGTGCCTATGTACCGTTATTTTTGTTTATAGACATTTGATTACTCACGTTTCATCTTGTGTATAACTTCAACAATACAATGATTATGAATACAACCTGATGTTGCATTAAACTTTTAGATTACCATCTAATTCGTTAGTTTGGGTCTTGATAGTATCACGAATTGGAATACCCGAAGTGATTGAGATCGAATGAGAAGTGGACAGGTACCTCAATTTGGTAAGTGGATTAATGTTGCTGTCATACCTCATCGGCTGAGATAGGTATGACACTTGTAACACATACCGGATCGTTGCTTACC